CTTGATTTTTGCTTATGATGTTGCTCTTCCCGGCGTTCAACGTTTGTGACCTAAAAATAAAACGTTATCTTTAACCTTTCGACCCCTGTCCGTGTTATGGTGTTTTGAATGCCGTAAATTTCCACACACTTTATTTGTAAAATACATGGGTTTTGTAAATATTCCTTCTTAACTGATGCAAACATAAACATATTAAATGTCAAAACAGTCCGGCGACTGTTAAGTCAGCGCTTATTGTGCAAGTCCATTGTTGCAGGCACTACTGTTATTTTTGGGTGAAATAATCAAATGCGTACTTTGGTTCTGTAGTTTGCAGTCGTGTATTCATACCTTTACTTGTGTGCAATGTATTAACATTCGTTGCACGCCCACAAATATTTGATGTATATATTGCTCAAATAGAAAAAAAAATTCTCAAAATTGTAATGTTAATCATTGGACGCATTTTGTGCCGATTGAGCTTCTTTTCTAGCAAATATACGATGTTTACGATTATGGGTGTAGCAACAAAAAACTTTATTTTGAAGACATTCTGACAAGCACCTTCAAAATCCGATTTAAAATTATATTCCTTCCGTGTATAGTATAGTATAGTGCCACACGAGTAGGCCTTTAAAGATGATGTAGAGACTTCCGTGACTGCGTCAAATAAAACCTTCCAAGTTATTAACCATGCATACGTATTTAGAGAACACGATTTCACATTGAGCCGTCTATTAACAATTCCGTCCATTGACTCTCCCAGCAGCCAGGGTGACAAATTATCCCTCGCCATTGAAAGAATTTATGAAGATTGCCGTTATGTTGTTTTTGTTTGCGTTAATATGGGGTCAAGTTTCGAGAAAATAGCACGCCTACATAGGTATATTTTGATAATAACTGTAAAAAGAACAAAATACTTGAAATTTTTAACATATGGTAAGTAAACGTGCGAAAGCTGAAAATTGAAAGAAAAAAATTTATTGCAGTTCAAGGAACGATAAGCGACCACTTCATGAATGACGTTTTAGTTTTATTATAGCAAAACCTGAAATATTTGTCACTCAGCGTCAGTTTTAGAAGTTCTCTTTTTCAAAAATTTGATATTTAATTACACGAAATTAGATTTCAAATAGTCTCAGCTTTCTGTTCGTCACGGTCAGTCCGGATTTGTTTAAGGTTAGAGAAATCGTGTTTATTGTTGTCTTAAATCCAGTTTATGAAGAATTTTTCCAAAAAAAATTGTTCCACCATTTGCCGGTGGAGCTACAAATACAGATCTGTACTCGTCAATAAGGGCCTTTGAGCGCAGTGCCAGTGTTAAGTGACACGGGACAGTGGTTAAGAGAGTATCATCCGAAGTCTCGATGTCCCGCAACGTAAGGATCAACTCCTTTTCCGCGACCCCATAGAAAACGCTCTAATCACTGCACCACGCGGGCGTTTAAACTAAAAAAAAAAGGTATCTTACAATACCAGTATGTCCTTTGTAATTTGCGTGGACCCTGAAGTCCACGCAGAAATATATAAGCGAGGTTAAACCAGATGCTATGGGCAAAATTCAGGCTACGCATGCGCGAGAATGCTGAAAAGTTCGCTCCTAAGACAACTTGCCCGTAGAATAATTCGCCTTATTCGAATTAGAATGTGCCCATTGGCAAATCTCGCTTTTAATATTTATTTATTCCTTGGCGGATCCGAATTTCTCTCTTGCATATACTTTTATATACAAACTAAACATTGATTGTATGGCACAAGCATTTTAAAATGTAGGAAAAACTTGCAGCATATAGATAACTTAACATGTTGAATCAAATTCGTCATTCAACGACTAGTTCTACCTTTCGAAAGATAGAACAAGTCTTCACAGGCATTAGTTTTGAGCATCAAGGCTCGCAAAATAATTTGATATACAGCAATCCAAATACAGCTTGATAGAGGTTTTCCATATGGGAGAGGGTTGGGGCTCCGAAAATAAAAGAAAAAAAATATGCGTACTACAGAGCTGTGCTACATGTGTACCATCAAATCTATTTTTCATTGATAGATTTCTTCCGTATATTCACTAAACCTAGAAAGGATGACTGCACCTAACGCCATGTTTTGGGTCTTTTTAAGGCGCTCCTGTTGCTTTTAAATCTTAACCTAATTTCACTTTTATATATTTACTACAGAAGCCCGTCAATTTGACACCCAATATAAATGTTGAAATTAATTTTAGACTGTAATTTAATAATTAATTTCATGTTTTTGTCCTTACGGTTTTCCAAATGAAATACAGAGAATTGACACTTACCTGCCCCTAATTGAACATTATACATTTATATGTATGAGATGGAGCTAACGTCGTAAGAATGAATCTAAATTTAGACTGGATGAATAACAATGACATGTATAAACCAGAAGTCTCTGTTGAGACTGTAGCTCTACTGGTTTGTACTTATAACAAAGTATATTCCCATCAGACCAAAACTGTAGAAGGAGTAGCGTTTTAAAGGAATTTCAGTCATCTCTAATTTTAGTAACAATGGCAACACTGTTCATCGAAATCAAAAACCGATGCACTATTTTATGTACCTTAGAGAAGTCTACTTGTGTGCCAAGTTATATTGAAATCAGACCAAAATTGTATGAGGAATAGCATTTTAAAGGAATTTCACAAAAAATTCTATTTTTAGTAACCATGGCAACACCCTTCATCGAAATCAAAAACCGATGCACTATTCTATCTATCGTAGTATAGTCTACTTGTGTGCCAAGTTATATTGAAATCAGACCAAGACTGTAGAAGGAGAAGCGTTTAAAAGGAATTTCACAGAAAATTCTATTTGTAGTAACCATGGCAACACCCTTCACTGAAATCAAAAACTGATGCACTATTTTATGTATCTTCGTGTAGTCTACTTGTGTGCCAAGTTATATTGAAATCAGACCAAAATTGTATAAGTAACCATGGCAACACCCTTCATAAATCAAAATACAATGCACTATTTTATGTACCTAAGTGTAGTCTACTTGTGTGCCAAGTTATATTGAAATTAGACTAAAACTGTAGAAGGAGTAGCGTTTTAAAGGAATTTCACAGAAAATTCTATTTTTAGTAACCGTGGCAACACCCTTCATCAAAATCAAAAATTGATGCACGATTCTATGTATTTTAGTGTAGTCTACTTGTGTGCCAAGTTATATTGAAATCAGACCAAAACTGTAGAAGGAGTAGCGTTTTAAAGGAATTTCACAGAAAATTCTATTTTTAGTAACCATGGCAACACCCTTCATCAAAATCAAAAACTGATGCACTATTTTATGTATCGAAGTGTAGTCTATTTGTGTGCCAAGTTATATTGAAATCAGACCAGAACTGTAGGAGGAGTAGCGTTTTGAAAAATTGTTTACAGACAGACAGACAGACGGACGGACGACGGACACCTTACTATCGCATAAGCTCTTCTGGTCTCTGACCAGTAGAGCTAAAAACGAGATCTCTATTTTCCATCTCCCTATTTATTTTGCATGGCACAAGTACATTATTTACTAAGGTTTAAATCGTATGAGCCTATCCGTGTAAGTAAAGAATATTTAAAAATGGATGGCTGACTATTTAACGTGTTCGAACACATTGTCCTACTTAGCACAAAACATGCTACCTAAAAGTCACGTGACGGAATTCAGTATTCACAAAATTACCCGGGGAAAGATATCACATGGTGAATTATGATATTCAACGTGTCACAGCCCCTTGATTACAACAGAGAGATCGAGTGTAAAAAGAAGGTAGTTTTTTCTTTTAAACCATGAGCGCATGTTTGTCTATTAATCTCCTTTTAACACAACATCACTAATGCAAATCGCACAACTTCTGTTAAAAGGAGAACAATAGACAAACATGCGCTGACTATGAATAAAGTCAATAAAAAAGCAGGCTTCCTCATTATCGTACGGAGAATGAAGAAATTGTTATAACCCCTACCTTAGAAAACAGATTCGTACATTGTAAATACATACCTTTGTTTATTGTAATTAAGTAAAGTTGAAGAGATGTTGATAATTCCTGCATTTCAAAGAAAAAGTGTCTGTTTTGGAAGTTTATTTTTACATGAATTTCGCATATCCTTAAGTGCAGTCATCCTTTTCTCTTTAATTGAATTACGCTTAGAAACACATGCATACGGTCCACGTATTGCAGTCCTTTTTTTAAAGGACAGCAACTTGTATTTAAAACTTACATGTAACAATTTCAAGGTAATGGTAACTGTTCAATTACTACGGAAAAGTAATGCATAGCCAATTTTATGAGATATACAAAAAAGTATCTCACTGAACGTCAGAACCGAAGAGATGATCAATACTTTCGAATTATTTAATGAAGTACATGTCATCAGTGAGATTATCTGATGAAATATCTTCTACTTATGCAAGAGTTAAGATAAAAAAAAAATGGCGACCTTATTTTTTTCTTATTGTGATCGCGCAAGCTCAGTATATTCAAATTATTTCTTTAAAAAATCAAATACTATACTAAAAAATACATTTTTATGAAGCTAAGCACAGGATCATACGTGTATTTTTTACATGAATTAACCGAATTAAATAAAACAAAAAGTAGCATTGTTTAAAAATCATTTTCATTTAATGAAACTGTGGCTGGTATTCTTATCTTTCACTTTATATTAGATGATATCAAAATATTGCGTTGTACATACATATCCATATGGCTTAAATCAAAATACATAAATAGGTGTATAAAAAAATTAAACAAACACATGGACCAAAAAACCTTTATACCTTTTTTTGAAAAAAGAAGGAGGTGGATAGAATAAATAAAAGGAATAAAAAATATATTTAATAAATGAGATAATTATTGATAGTGTTTACAATATAAACAAGAAGCTATAGCTTACTTTATATAGCATTATTTCTTAAAAACTCAATAAATACATGTAAATTTCCATAATCTGAAATCCGAAGATAAAAAAATTCGTAAAGCTTAAATTATGATATGGAAAATATAGGAATATTACCTTATATGGGAAAAGAAACAACAGGCACACAGATATCCTATATTCTGAACATTAAAAAAGTCTCAGGTGGAACGATATGTTTTTCTTCAAAATAATAACGACTTTTTTTGTGGAAGTACACAAAATGCACCCTCTGGTAGAAATTCTGTTAGCACAATGCTAATCAAGCACTCCCCTATCGAATCAAGGTCTTTAAGAGAGAAAGTATAGACATCAATAAGCGTCTGGACAGGACGGGGTTAGTATTGCGTTCTAATCGAACGTATAGAGTTTGCCTTGTGAGCTTTGAGTCTAAGCGAAGGAACGAGAGACTATAGGGAAAAATATATTTTTTTACCTTACTGACATGGGAACGCCATTATTATTTGTTTTGGATGCTGAATAGGAGAAATAGATGCCCACGCTGATTTGAAGAAAATTGATAACTATCTAATCGAGCACTTCTTTTATGTCTTTGAAATTGTTATTTGTTACTAGACCTGTTGACAAATTGACGTATCAACTGAGCCTTTACTTTATAGAAATATTCCATGTGGGAGCAAAAAATTTTCAGTAAACACGAAAAAAAGTGAGCTTCGTAATGAGACCAGGAATTTTAGGGAAGGGTGTGTGTTAAGAAATATTGTTCTTCATAATAGAACAAGTGAAACTTTTAAGTTAGCAGAATATATGTATCATTATTTGGACATTTTAAGAGAATTTAAGAGAAAAAATACTTAACAATATTATAAAATGCTCCCCTCTAGACTTGCATTCGGTGAATATAAGAATATTACACATGGAATGGTATTTCTAGGATTAAAAAGCGTTAAAATTTGTCTAATATTTATAAAATAAATCTAAAAAAAATACGTGTTTTATTATTAATAACATTCATTTAATAGCTATTTCAAATTTTGAGTCTAATTTGGGAATATCTTTTTTATATTAAATTTACTAGTACATGTACTTACTTCATATTTGACATACAAGGATATACATGTATTTTCAAGTACTTCATTTGCATCATTTAAAATGTAAACCTGTTAATCAAAAAGTTATATATAATGATCACATAAAATTATATAGATTAAACTTTTGTTTTTAAGGGTAATTTATATCTGGTATATATTAAAGTAATTGATGAAAACAAGTAAATGAAAACAAGTAAATGTACATGATCTTGATTTTTAACTTGCATGACATCCATTGTACCTGCAGTTTAAAACAAATTTTGTATGATAATCAGTGAAAAATATTTAAACAATGTACATTTTATTATACCCCCGGTAACCTTTTACTTATTAGAAACTTTTATTATTAGTCCGAAATATATCATTGATATATAAGGGAAAATCATGAAATAAACAAAGTCAGACTCTACCAGATCTCCAATGTGGTAAATTTCAGTAAAGTGAAGCGTGAAAGTATTGAACAATGTACACGAAGTGAATTAGCTCTAGGGAATTAACACGTGCAATTAATGCATAAATAAAACAAGATGTGACCTTAACCAGTCTACAAATTACAGACCACGATCATCGTGACATTATTGATCGCTATTCGCTTTTTTATCATTTTACCCTGGAGACTTTCGAAATTAATATCCTTGTAATTGGATTTGCAAAGCAAATACAATACTGTACTTTGTATTAATGAGACATTAAATTCTGTTCAGCTCTAAAGTATTGATCCGCCAATTCTTAGCCCGGGCAGACGAGAACACAGTTTAAAAAGTAGTGTTCATTACCATTTTAAGGAGGCTAGGGGGTCAACAAATTATTTTTTTATTAACCACCAGATATAATTTAAATTTTGGGGTATGATATCTTAAGCTGTCAACTTTTATTTGACAAAGAAAAATTTCCTAAATTTTAGTTTTAAAATTGATCATTTTATTATATTTTTACATGGAGCTCTTCTTCTAAAGGAGATCAAAATAGTCTAAAAATGGCCACAACCACCCAGCCCCTTTAAGGGCAAAAGTGAATAAGCAAAAAAAAAAAAAAACAAATTAAAGGTAACCCCTTTTTTTATGTTTCCTTTCTAGCATGAGGTTTTTCATTAATTTATTACTTCATTAAAACTATGAATAGAAATTTGAATTCATGTACACTAAAAATTACTTTTTTACATGTAACGCAGATATTTTTTTCTGATGATTCAAAAGGTATGTTAATCATAATGAATCTTAGAATATCATATACTACTTGTAGGTAAATATTGAACAAAAAAAATTACTTCAAAAATATAAATGGGATTTTTTTTCCATACTTTTGTTTTAGAGCACTTCAGTTTGTCAAAGTAGTGAAGATGGGAATTTTATATCGTCATATACATGTAAGTAGCCAACACTGAACATTAACATGTAAGCAATTGTAAGAGAAGCTCTAAAGAAAGTTTCAATAATTAAAGTTAGAGTATTTCCTTTGTATCTACATGTTAATCGTTACTTATATATATTTTTAGCATGTTTAGAGAAGGCGGCAAGATTATTGATACAGAAAGAACGCAGAATGAAATTAAATCCAAGTAGAGAAATAAAAATTTGCTCTGCCAAATACGGAACAACTAAAAACATGTTTGGAATCAAGTTTCACTATTAATATATTTTAAGAAAGAAAATTTCAATTGAACATAAAACGACATATGTATACTATAAATAATTCAAGAACAAATCACGATTTAAGCTGTGTATCTCGTTTCTTTTCAAATAAAAAATACCTCAGAACTAATGAACATTTAACGCACATTTAAATGTTTCTCATTCACGTTAATCTTAAAGTCTACATGAAATTTTCAAATCAAAGCAGATTACACAGACACTAATGACAGCGATTATTTTCCTTTACAAATGCTTTACTCTCGTGATTACAAAACACGTGGAATCTATCTGACTCTTTAAAGAACGTATTACCTACTTTTGTTATTTCAGCTCATTTAATGAAACAAGTTATTCTATATATGTTTTTCTTTATTACAATTAGTGGAAAACGAATTTTCATATCTTTCTTTTATGAATCAATTTATTTCGTGTTTACATTGAAATTCTGAAACTTGATGCTTGGACTAAATATTCGATTCATATTTCAAATCAATTACTGAGTATCTTATTAAGATCTTAGTCTTAAACGCCAAAGAAAGATCATTTCTTTAAATAAGACGCGGTCACGTTTTACTATATGTACATGTATGTGTATCATAGTCATGTTTGTTAACAGTCTTGTCCTGGATGTCCATCTTACCCCTTCTTACTCTGTCGGACATTCCAACTAAATATACTAAAATCGACCGTTAAGTTTCTGATCATGCCTATGTACCACAGCAAACTACATATATACATGCAACTACAAACAAACTGAAACCCCATTTATACCCGTGATCTTTCCCGATGTGCAAAAGATAAATGGAATTCTAACTATGTAAGAGGAAATGGATTACCTTTAGTTTGTGTTTATGGCTTAAAAACATGACTTTTGTAGGAATGGATTAAACGTATGGCGCCTATAGGGAATTTTTATAATCATCAAATGAAAGTTTTACCTCATCTCCCTTTGTCTTCGCCCACAAATCGCTTGTTGCAATGAAGTTTTCGTTATTGAGATACATGGATATAAAATATTAAAATCTATAGGCAATTTCTGGTTTCTTAACATGTAACTCATTAATTGATCCTGCATTTTTTTTTTATTCTCAAAGGCTATTGATTTGATGGTTTGCTTTATTTGCTTGTATATTATACACATAACCGATGTTGCTCGTGGAGAAACTATTTAATATGCTACACGAGAAGAAGAAAGCTTACCTGTTGTTGTTTTTTTTAATTTAATGAATCCCTTTTATATAAAAAATTATCACTAGACTGGTTTTTCCTCCTTCTAAGAATTTGCTACAAGTTCTCTCTTCCTTTGCATTTGTTGTATTCGCTCTGCCAGGGATATCAACGTGTAATTATTTCGTGCCAATTTCAAAATCAATTTCCCCCCAAAATAGAACCAAAGTATTGACTGTCCTTTTTTAAGCGATATATACAACTCTGTTTTGATTTCATTTGCCTACAGCAAAAAGACAAGTTTAAAAATAGAATTAAAGTCTTTTTAAATAGGTAGCTTATGTTTATTATTTTAGAAAATATTTGAATGACAAGTTTTATTTTGAATACTGCTTAAAGCTTATCTAAAAGATCTTGGATTAAACTCCTGTAAATTCAGTGCATGACTTAAAACTACTTCACACCCAAAATTGTCATTGCAAATTATTTTTATAAAAGCTTTATTCTCCAAAAGTCAATCACCCACCCTTGTTTTTTGTTGTTATTGTGTTTTTTGTTATTTTTAACATTCCATATCCTATTGATTCTTCATTGCTTATAGTTTCAAAAGAGCGTTCAAATCGACAGAAAGGTGTTTTGATGTGGAAACAATATTTTACGTTGTAATATAAACCACGATCACAGCTGTAAAGTGCAGAAAAAAACTTTAAAGGTATTCAATATATAATGAAAAGTTTTTGAACAATTACGAATCGTTTGAAACTAGTTCAAAATACATTGCTACATGTAGATAACGATGAAAGTGATATGAACTAAATACACATAACTGATATCAACTATTATCAATTTCAGTTAAGTGTGCAGTTTTCCATTACGTCACAACGTATAATGACAGCTGCGTTCAAGATAAATACAATGCCTCCTAATCGCAAGCTTTACGACTGGAAGTTTTTTTCTGACCTCTGATTGGTCGCTCGTGCAACAAACTATTTTCGTGTCAATGTTGATAATACGATAATACGAGTTGACCAATCACACAGCGTAAAACTTCACACTTAACTGCAATCCATAATAAGAAGCTAGTCATTTTGCACCTGAAATGCTTTTGAAGAGTTATCTGCCCTTGATGAAAAGAGTACATTTTATTTCTTTCAAAATATCTGGGAAATGATTCATTTAATTTCAAATTTTAATAAAAATAAAAAAGAGTTAATGCATTTTTTCTCCAAGAGATTTGTATGAAATTCACATTACATTTTACAATATCCTAATAAAACATGAGCTGCCCATAGACTTCAATGTAAAATTCAACTGGACAATAATTAAAATCTCCTTTGGTGGAGTATGTTTATTTTATAACACCTTCAAAATGCTACCATGATTAAGGACACACGCAAGGTACCTTA